TACTGCATATATTCTTACCGAGAAAATGATTTATTGAAGTATCGTCGATACTCAATTCCCAAACCAAACTAACTAAATATAGGAGTATTCTTTAGTACGTGAAATTCCAATATCTTACAGAAAAATTGCATCCATTTTACCGCGGCGTGACGAAGAAGACTTAAAGTATAGGAAAACACTCGAAATATTGAAAACCATCCAATTTCCTTAATGTATTCACAAATACATTTATTTCGCTAGTCATAGCAAGCCATCAAATAACTTTTAAGTTTTCACTATTGTAATACAATGGTGCGGTAGCGAAGTTTCAGAGAAGTAATTACTTTTCAGTTTACTTTGAATAATAAGAACACAAAATGTTTATAATACAATGTAAAACGTAGGAGTTAAGTAGTCATACAGAGTATATTGTAATTAAAAAAAAATTAAACAAAAGTGGCAAAATTGCAATACTGTTATACCTTAGTTGTCTTAAATTAGGTGGAGTTGATAACTGTGTTTGTGACTCCATAATTAAAGTCTGGATTTTGTATCCAAGGGTCCAGGGTTCGAATCCCACTGTTAGCTAGGATTGTTATGTTTAATTTTATTAATCATTCCGACCATTTATTGGTTTAGTATATAATTTATAGTTCAAATGGTACTACTGGTTAAACATGCAGTCAGTATCAATATAGTAAAATGCCTGCAATTTCCTGTTAACTTTCGGTCAATACTCCATTATTTGCCTATATATTTATTTCTAGACATAAAATGAAAAATGGAGAAGTACCAAAATGAATCACTTCCAAAAGTAAACCTGAAATTATATAACGATTTTCGCCAAATAAATAAACTTTTGGAAAACGATTTTGTTGCTGATTTTGCAATTCAGTACGACGTAAACTAAGAAGAATTTTGTCTATTTTATTTATTCTGCAGCTCTATATATTATTTATGGCTACTCAAACCTTGAGTATTCCATTTTAAAGACACTTCCCCTACTTCATTTAAACTAAATTTTCATTATTTAAACGAAAAACTTTTTGTAGAATTTCACATTGCTTTATTATTAATAATGATGTTTAAAAATATAATAAAATGCTTCTCATTTTATTTACATTAGACATCCAACGCGAAATCGTTTTTTCATAAAAAAAAATATTCTTATTTCATCACATTCATCTTTCATAGCGAATCCGGAATCTGAAAGTTATTAAAAACGGTTTGCTATTATTCCAGAGGTGTAATAAAAACTTCTTTGAACCGTCTACATTCCGATTCTCTTTGATATTTCATTATTAAACATTCACTGTTGCATCAAGCTTGACGTTAGCGTGAGGTATATACAATCCACGGCGAAAATATGCGATTAAAAAAGTCAAGGGGATTAAGAAACGTGCAGTTAATATTTGTTAGGTAATCGATATCCTTATAAAGTCTTGAAAGAAGAGAGTGGCAGCATAAATTTTATATATCGATTCTGGAAGATATTAAAAAGAAGGAAAAAAAGGATATTATGATGGTAATGGTGGTGAATCGCAGATCTCTAAAGTTATTTTTCAAATAATACCTGTTGGTGATAGGTGCTTTCTTCTTAAAAAATTTTTAACACATTCTTTCGACTGTAGTGGACTGCTAAGAGAAAGAGTACTGGCATGATAGAAAAAAAACAGAAGTATGACAATTAGCCGACGAAATCTCGTCGAGTTTACGCATGACAAGCAAATCTTCAGAAAGGTTATGAATATTTTCTATTATTGTTGTAATAACTCAAGATACGATTCACCATTTAACACCATGCATTTAACTTTTGAGGATTCTGTGTACAACATGTGAATCACTCTCAGCCCAATATCTGCAATTATGTCTATTAACTAAACCATTTACTGAAAATGTGGATTCATCCGAAAAACAGAGGTTGCGCAACAAATGTAAATTGTCAGTTAAGCTCTGACTCAATAATTCATAAAATTCAAGATAACGAACAAAATCATCTTTATACAACTCTTAAAATAATTTAATTTTGATATTCAGACGGTTCAAAAACCAAGGACGGAGCCGGTACTGAAATCTATGGACCCAAGTCGAAAACACGATTTCGCTGAGCTTAGAAAAATATGCAACAGTGTTCCAAGCTGAACTAATAGCCATACAACACTGTGCAAGAGAAATATTACATCAGGCAAAACTACTGCCATATACTCTGATAGTCAAGCAGCTCTAAAGGCAATTCTCTCATTAGAAATCAAATCACGACTGGTGAAAGATTTTCTAGAAGACCGTGATTGGGAGAAAATGTGGGGTGAAAATAAAAGGGGAAAATGTGGGATGGAAATGTGGGCGAAATATGAGGGAACTTGGGAAAAGTGTGGGGAAAAGAGTGGGGTTTGCGGGGAAGGTGTGGAGTTTGGGGAAAGTGTGGGGATTGAGAATGAAAGTGTGGGGATTGAGGATGAAAGTGTGGGGGTTGAGGATGAAAGTGTGGGGTTTGACAGCAATTGTGGGATTAGGGGAAACTGTAAGGGAGCTTGGAAAAATTTAATGAAAAAAGGAAAATTTAAATTGTGAAAAATGTAAGAAGTGGGAAAATAGGTGGGAGAAATTGGAAAAATTGTTGGGGAATTAGAAATATTGTTGAGTAATGGAAAACATTGTAGGGAAAGTAGAGAAATGGGAAGAAAATTGCGAAAAATTAAAATAGGTAGAGAAATTTTGTATAAAAAAGGGAACAGTAGGTTATAGGAGTGATGTGGAAATAATGAGAACGATTCACCATTTAACACCATACATTAGGTTTGGAGGATTCTGCGTACAACATGTGGATCACTCTCAGCATAATATCATAATATAGCATAATATAAGAAAAATGGCAGGGGAAATTTTGGTGAATAGAGGAAAATAATTGGGTGGCTAATAAGGTTAGTGGGGGGGGGGGGTAAATTAATGATAAAATTTAAATTAGGGGGAGGAGTAGGTGCAATGGGGCGAGGGAAAAAGGGAAATCGTGACGAAACGGTAAAAACGGTAGAGGAACTTGTGCAACTTTTGAGTGATTGGGGGAAAATGTGGGGTGGAAATGAGAAGGAAAAATGTAGGAGGAAATTTGGGGTAAAAATGTGGGGGAAAATATGAGGGAACTTGGGAAAAGTGTGGGGAAAACTGTGGGGAAAAGAGTGGGGTTTGTGGGGAGGTGTGAGGTTTGGGGGGAAGTGTGAGGTTTAAGAGCAATTATGAGAATTAGGGGAAAGTGTAAGGGAGCTTGGAAAAATTGTATGGAATAAAGAAAATTCAAATTGTGGAAAATGTAAGGAGTGGAAAAAATGGGTGGAAGTAATTGAGAGAATTGGTGAGGAATTAGAAATATTGTTGAGGAATGGAAAACATTGTAGGGAAAAAGGGGAAATGGGTAGAAAATTGTGAAAAATTGGCGAATAGGTAGGGAAATTTTGTATAAAAAAGGGAACAGTAGGTTGAGTTGATGGGAGTGATGTAGGAATGATGGGAAAATTGTAGGGTAAAAGAAATTTTTTGTTACAATTAGAAGATCCTCCATGTAAGACATTGTTCACGAATGGTAATAAAAAAAGTAAGGGACAAAAAATCTACAGGACAAGTTCCGGTATCGTTTATAAATTCTCTGATATCCATCAGTTGCAGTACTTAAAAGAGGTGGTGCTGTAACTGAGCGATATTAAAGCTTATAATATTCACTGGGATCGAAATCTAATTCAGAAATAACAAATTCCCGTACGTGTCTAGATATTTTTGTGCGACGTCAATGCACTGAAGACGATGTTTCTTTCGAAATAAGAGCCAAATCCTGCTGCTACTGCTGCTGATGCTGCTACAGAACGGCCGAAATGCCAAATTGGGCAGAAACACGAGATAGGTTGGGAATAGGCAGTCTTATTTGCTGTCTTGTACTGCAACCTGATGTTGATGGAAGCTCCGACTTAGCTTCTTGTTTTTCTGTCAAATTCATTCTCAAGCTCTATAGGACAATTAGTAGCTCCCCTACCTTCCCCTAGTGTCCTTCACTGACAAACTCATTACAACTTAAAATAAAGATCTTCTGCAACTATCAAGAGAAGACTGAGTTCAGCTTAGAGCTACATAATTCGCCGTGCATAAACGATTATAAACTGGTCTTAACTGGATTGAGCAAGTTTGAAGAGTTTTGTGACATAATGTTTGGGATTTTCTGAATGTTTATTAATGTAAAAGTTTGATGCCAGGCCTTGTGAATAGGTGCATTTTGTTTATGTTTTTTACTAGAATTTTATGTATATTATTTTCAATTTGATGAAAGGTAGAGGCCTGAAGACATTTATTTTTAACTGAAATTTTGGAAAATAGTTTACTATAAGTAAAGACAACTTTCAGTTTGTAATAAAAGTTAAAAAATTGTTGATGGGAGGTAGAGCCCTGAAGTCATTTTTTTTTAATTGAAATTTTAGAAAATAGCTTAATATCTAGAGGTAACTTTTCTTAGGTATTATATAGTAAAAACTAATATTATTTTTTTTTTCACTCCACCCTACTGCACACTGAACAGTGCCTTGAAGTTGTAGTATCACATAATATGTCCCAACTCATTAGACTTATATTTAAGGTCCTTAATAATACATTGCAGCTCCAACCAATATCCTCGTTGTCAAATATAATATTTTTTGTTAAGGCTATTAACATTTTTTAATTTTAGTTTTTTGCTAAGTCGCTTCATAGAGCTTACGTAAGAGATGCGCCATCTGGTAATTATTAAAATATTATTTCCATTATTATATGACTTGACTTATAATATTTAAGATCCTAAATAATATATTACAGCACCAAATAATATTCCCGTCATTCCGAAAAAAAAAATTGTTTTTTATCATAGTATTTACGGCCGCTAAAAAAATCTTTTATCCAATTCGGTTATTTCTACTACTAATCTATTGTGTAACACAAAAAAAAAACCAAAAAACTCCTTCATAATTAACAATGTACAACTTTTTATAGTCATCGAATCAACTTACAGAAAACGTTCAATTTCACGGTATGTTCCCCGACGCCATTTTGGACCAAATGATTGGATGCTCTACACGTAAGTGATCGTCCGTTGTCGAGGCGGCTGGGTACGAATGAGAGGATTGAAGTAGTTGAGTTTCCATCGTCGGATTCCTGAAAATAGAGAAAATTGTGATACATCTGTTTGTAAAAGGATTAAGACGTTGGGGAAAGTAGAAACAGTGAAAGTCGGAGAAGGTTTTTTTATGATGAGTTTCGAGTCTGGAATAAGAATGGTTTATTTTCTGTTTCAAATACGATTACGATTTTTTTTTTTAAATCAAATTATGTCAATGTAAAAAAAATAGATTAAGGGCCATTCTTTCCAATTCTGAGTAAACTTGAAAGTTACTATTTGCTGACTAAACTATAGGGGTATTATTTGTTATTTGCTATATGAATCAAAATTTTAAAGTTACCAAGGAAACAGAAATGTCCATTCTCCATCAAAACGTACAATGTATTAGATGTATTAGAAACAAAATACTTTAATTAGAAAACCTAGTTAATAACATGACAAACTTTGGCGACATGTTTCAATCTTACAAATTTTAATAACGTAACAACTTTTTGTAGAGAAACACATATACATGGTGGGGTAAGTATAAATATTCACAACACTTTACAAAGCGCTGAGATGTCAGAAATTAAGAATATGTCAAAAGAAATCCACTGTGAAATAACTGGGGCATTTTTTAAAAAGCTTAATCTGGTACTCATTGTTATATACAGGGTGTTATTGAAATAGTGTAAAAAAATTAGGCAGGTGATAGTACTCCTAAAACTAGTAAAAAAAGTTCATGGGTCGTTAAATGCATATTAAGGGATTTAGGGGAGTCAAAAGGGTAAACTTGGAAAGTGATTTTTTTTAAATTGTAAGCTTAAAAAACACGATAAAACTTCGAAAAAAAATCACTGCTGACATAAAATTTACTTCTGAATCCAACGGTAATATCGAAAAATTACTTATTTGATCAGAAAGGGTAGTGCTTGCAAGGGTAAGGGGTTGATTTATGATTAACTTTTTAGGGGATGATTTTTTACAACATGGGTCTATTTTTAAAAAACTAATACCTTTTTTCCATAAAAAAAAGTACTCTTATTGCAAGTCGCTTAAAGCAATGGTTTTCGAGAAAATTGAAGGCAAACATTTTACTGAACCCGTATTTGAAAAACAAGTATGTATTTAATTTTTGATGGGTTGCTCACAGGTTAATCAACATAAATTTATGAAATTTATGGCGTGGATATTTCAATTTAGAATTACCAAATCGCCCTGTTAAACAAGAGAAGCGCCGAAATTATTTTAAATAATAAAAGAGTGAGAAATTAAAGTAAAAAATATTTTATTACTATTATGAAAAGTACCGTATTTTTTTATAATATCAGTCTGACTCTTTTATTTAAAGTAAATGTTCAATGTGGCCACCATTCATTTCAATACAGACACCTGCTCTTCTTCTCCAGGATCTACGTACTCTATCGAAAATCCTTGGCGTTGTACGAATTTGATTGGAGCAGTCAATTATCCGTTGTCGTAGCTGCTCTTCAGTATTAATCGGCACTAAGTAAACCAAAGCTTTTAAGTGACCCCATAAGTAGAAATAAAGTGGATTAAGATCTGGTGATCTGGCTGGCCAAGCTTGTGGACCACCACGTCCTATCCAACGCCTCTCGAAAACTTGATTTAAATGATTTCTCAAGGCTAGTGGAAAATGAGGTGGTGCATAAAATACATAATCTGCCTCTGTGCTATTGGAACTTCCTCCAAAAGTATTAGTAAATGATTTACTGGTCCGATTAAAATCCTTATGCTGTCATAGAAAGCCGACACCAAGTTTGATTCTCAGTAAACGTTTGGGTGGGAATTCTTGGAGACAGACTTATTGGACCATTATTTCTACCCAATAGGTAAATTTTAAAACTGTTCAAACGTCACCAATTCCTAATTATTATTATTCTTTTGGGCTTAATGGACGAAATTACCTTCATTTTTTGGTAAATCATTTACCAATACTTTTGGAGGAAGTTCCAATAGCACAGAGGCAAATTATTTTTGCTGGCGACTTTATTTCGTGAGAATCTAATTTTTGGAGTTTTAATTTTTTTGCAATATTACGGTTTTACTTTTCGAAAATCTCTCGTCCCACACAAAAAATTATTTTTCAAAGGTATATTTTTAAAAAGATTTATTTTTTAAAAATTTTATTTTCTGAAGGTTTTATCTCTCAAAAATCGATTATTCTGAAATTTTACATCTTTTATAAATTTTATTTTTCAAACATTTATTTTTCAGAGAATATTTTTTCAAAAGATTTTATTTTCCAGGAAATCATTCCTCTAAAATATTATTTTTCTACTAGCTTTTCCGCACTCATTTTAGTGTTAAAAGAGTAACTTTTCCGCACTAGTGCGAAAAAAACTTTTTTCCGCACTAGTGAATTTGTGAATATTTAAAATATATATATTTGTATAATTTTAGTTTACAAAATGTCTAAAAAATTAAGAAATTTATTAGAATTCTGCTATAATTTTTAATAAAAAGAAACGTGTTTCAATAATTTCTAATGGTGGCAAATAAAGTAAAAAATATAATTGTGTTTTCCTTTTTTTCAAATTTAACATTTTTGTGTCAGAAACTCCAAATATGAGCTGGTAGAGGAAAACAATCATTTTAAATTCAATTAATTTGTTTATATAAAATATTGTATCGACCAAATATTTATTATTAAGAAACGTAACATATTAAATCGAAAAATATACCTATTTTTTAATTTATAAAATAAACATCACTAGAAATATCTATTCTAAGTAATGTTTAATGCACCTACCGTATGTGTAGAATTATATTTAGGTGCAACCAACTCTTTTCCATCCATTATCCAGCTTATTTTCGCCGGTGGTCTGGAACCAAACGTTTGGCAGGGAATCTCGTATTTTCTATCTGCAGAGAACGGATTATTGCTGATTAATATTTCCACAGTTAGAGGCCGAACTGTAACAAAAAAAGCGTTTTAGAGATTTTGATAATTAATAAATCCAAGTAAACAGGGTACGTAGCAATTTTTCCATCGATTTTATGAAACAGGCAGAATGTTTGGAGAAATAATTAACGTTCAGTCTTCATCGGTAATTATGGAAATGAACGAAAATTAATGAAGTCAATAAGGTCCAATTATTTTCCAACTGTAGACGCTTACCCGACTTTGAGTATTTATCCTGATTATAGACGCTTATCCTGATTTTTACCGGTATATACTTTTCGCAATATCTGCAAAAAAAAACATAAAAAACTAAAAAACAAAAAAAAACAAAAAAAACAAAAACAAAATTTTTAATTCTCATTATAAAAATGAAAAATGAATACTCTCATTGATTTATTCTTAATAAATGTGATTAACAAGTCCGATATAATGTTATAGTCCATTTTTGGTTTGCTTCTCTTATTAATTCTAATAGCTATTTATAAAACGAGTTAATATTAGCTGGAAGAGCAGAGCGAGGTTTAGCAATATGAATAAGTAACATAAAACTACAGTTTCATAAAATTTAACATTATAAATATATCAAACTTAAAAAAATATACATAAACGTGATTCATTTATAAAAACTGCAATAAAAAATATTGTCAGACAAGAATAAAACATAAATCCGTTGGACTATCAATCATAAAACTTTTACAAAGATTTGTTACATCCTAAGCCCACTAAATACTAAATATTTCATTCCACATAGTGTTTTAAAATTCCTAAAATATGTGCACGTACAATATTTCCACTCTTCCGCGCTCCTGGGCTTTTCCTCGGCAAAAGGAAAAAGAATTCGCCCGATCCGGGCAATCTAAATTTTTAAAAAACCTTTAAAATCCACGGTTTTACTGTAATACCGGCGTTAATTTAGTTTTAGCAAAATGAAATTACAACTTAAGCCCCTCCTAGCACAGCTTTTGTGGAACGGCCGCGTAGATTTAATTGTGAATATTCATGAGGTAAGTTTGTCCCATAGACCGCTGCACTCGATCCGTAATATTCAGCTTGTGACTTCATAGATGTTATAATATGTATAATTTAGATGTGCCATGTAGGGCAGTGGTTCTCAAGGCGTGGGTTAGCGACTGTGGTCTCTTACGAACTTCCACTAAAGCATAAAACCAAGGTTTACGACTGTAGGAAATTAGCTAACATAAAAATAATCATACTTTCAATTAATGCTAGGAGTAGCCACGCATGAGATAAGTTTATTCAAGGTGAAGAAAATAAAATTTCTTTTAATCTCACAGTGGTTTCAGACACGCCTAGTGGATGAGATTTCTTTGTAAAAAAGAAATCGTGATCCTGATGTATATCAAATGAATGTTTTGATCTTCGGCGCTGTTTCTTCTCCTTCTATTGTTTAGTTTGTTAAGATTAAAAACGCTTCTGAATTTGAAAATGATTTTTCAGGTATTACTAGATGTATGGAGAGACAACACTATGTTGACAATTATCTCGATTTTTGTTTTAATGAAGAAGCAGCTATCAAAAGGGTTACTTATATTATTTTTGTCCATAAAAAGGCTGGATTTCAAGTAGCTAAATGGATAACCAATTTTGAGAAAGTGTTAAGATCAATTCAGAAAAAGTTGAAAGAGAGCTTGGATTGTGTTCAGATTTGAACATTTTTCTTTATATTCACCAATTAAATTAACATCCTGTATATGAAATTATTTATTGAATTAAAATGTTTAATTTCATATGCAATTAATAATAAACACGTTCCAATTTTGTATCTAGTTCGATGTGTAAATTATAATAATAAAAATGCTGACTTATTTCAAAATTATTTTCAAAACATTGAACTAGAGAGACTGAAATTGGAATAAAAATATTTTTTTAATGTACATTTAAATAATTAAATAATATTAATTGGTATTGTATATTGTTTATTCTGTGATAATATAAAAGTAAATGCAAACGAAAAATAAAGAGATTGACTAACAACATGTGATAGTATACTTACAAAATTATTTCTAAATAGTCCAGTCATTTAAGCTTAAATTAGGTAAGAATCTCGGAACTGGAGATACCCAGCTGTAAGTCTGTAAATACTTGTATATTGACACGCTAAAAGTTATTTCAAAACCTACATATGGTAGGGTGTACGCAACTATTAAATTTCAAGGTCAAATGTCACAAAAATCGGTTTTTTGCGCTTTTTTGTAAATATCTCATTTTTTACGGGTTTTTTGCTATTTGTATTTATTATCAATATTGTAGAATACAAAATTCTCTACAAATTTTGTTTAAAAAAATTCAGATTACAGTAAGAACGTAAAAGCTATGGAGCAGCAGAGAAGATGAAACAATAGTTATACCAGTTACTCAAGAAAAATTCTTATCAAATCGAAATAACAAAGATATGCTCATTAATATGTTAATTGAAAAATTACAAGCTGCAAATATTACTACTAAACAAGCCAGAGATAATGCTGATGTTCTTATTGTTGAAACTGCAATTGAAGAATCAAATTCTAAAAAAACTGCAGTTATAATAGGACAACATATTGATTTACTTGTCATTTTAATTGGGCGTACACTGTCTTACGAACAAGACATTTTCTTTAAAAAAGTTGGGAAAGGAAATGTAAAAACGGGGATATACTTGACTAAAAGTTTTGATAATTATCCTCATTCCAAAACACATATTTTATTTCTGCACGCATTAAGTGGCTGTGACACAACTTCTGCGCTTTTTAAAAAGGGAAAAAATCATTTTTTAAAGTTTTTGAGAAACTGACAAATTTGAATGAACTAGCTGCAGCATTTAAGAAAGAAAATTGTTCGGCCCAGAGATTATTAGAGAGTGGAACTCAAATCTTATTGGCAGTCTATAATGCTCCGAAATCTGTGAAAAGTCTCGATCATCTTCGTTATATGTATTACGTCAAGTCTACAAAACTTAATTAACCTGTGCAGCTTTCAAATATTCCACCAACAAAAGCAGCTGCTCATCAACCTTTCAAACGTGTATATTATTAAATTCAAACTTGGTTAAGGCATGATTTGGAACCCCAGGTATGGAGTTGGGCAATGCAAAACGATTTTCTGGAGCCTATCATGACAATTTTACCACCTGCTCCAGAAGATTTGCTATATACAATTTTCTGCAACTGCAAGAGTGGTTGTGGTTCGCGATGCTGATGCAGGAAAGCGGGCTTGCAATGCTCTTTAGCTTGTGGCCAATGTAATGGGCAAGCTTGTCTCAATGCTTTACCATATCAGAGCGACATTAACGACGATGGAACCTTTGACCCCGAAATCATGGAAGAACTTGAGAGAAATGTCGTTGAAGACGATAATGAAGACCAGTTTGAAATTTACCAGCAGCCGGAAGACGACGATGAAGAGGAAGAAGATTATTAAAATTATAAATTGTAGTTTTTGTACCTTTTATTCCATTTTTTTACTTTTAATAAAAATAAATGTATTGAATGAAATTTTTTAATAAAAAGATTAATTCATAATTTATTTGTTTTTTTTTCATCATGTAAGAATTTATTAATATTAATTAGGTTAAAATTCAAATATAATTCCTATATTTTCATTAACAATTTTGCAATTACATGGGCAGGTAAGTGTTGTTAAATAAATTAATACTAAATAAAAAGTGGATAGGTTAGGAAAAAAAATGATAAAATATAATATAATAGTTAATAAAAATTGACAAATATTTATAATCATTGATTTATCGATATTTCATCAACTATATATGGCGCGTTTTCGACCGGAGGCACCGGTTGACCTGAAGTGATGCTGTGACCGCGCGCTCTCCGTCATCTATCTCGAAAACGGTTCACCGTATGAAAAATTTTTTTAAACAAAATTTTTAGAGAATTTTGTATTCTACAATATTGATAATAAATACAAATAGCAAAAAACCTATAGGAAATGAGATATTTACAAAAAAAGCGCAAAAAAACCGATTTTTTTGACCTTTGACCTTGAAATTTAATAGATGCGTACACCCTACTATATGTAGGTTTTGAGACAACTTTTAGGGTGTCAATATACAAGTATTTACAGACTTACAGCTGGGTATCTCGAATTCCGAGGTGAACTTACTATAATGATTGGACTAAAAATGAGATTCATGAAAACCATCTTGTAGTATTAATTATAAAATTCATCTTTGAAATCTATTCATGGTCCTTCGAGCCGGTTGGTTTCCTAAATGTGATGAATTCATTTTATCTTTAAATTGTGAAAAAATTCCTTCCGAAACAAAAATACCAACTAAATGGAAAATTCTTCAATTTGTTATGTCAATATTTGATACTTTGGGTTTTTTATCTCCAATAATAATTCAGGCACGCATTCTAATGTAGTATATAAAGTGTATATAGATTGCGATACATCAATTCCTGATGATATTTTAGTTAAATACCAAAAATGGTTGTTAGATATCCAAAAGGCAATGCCTGTTAAGACCCCTAGATACTATTTCCCGTCTCTTTCTTATGTTCCTGAGGTTTCTCTTCATTTACTTTCCGACGCTAGTGAAAATGCATATTCCTTTGTAGGTTGCATTGTTTCTGGCACCCCAGCTCAAAATTCAAAGTTGCTCCCCTGAAACAATAAACCATCCCAAAGCTAGAAATTCGGGGTGCTGTTTTAAGTCTAAAATTTCTGTCGGAGATATATGTTTGAGTGTTTACACTGGACTAAACAACTGTCAGACATAAATCTCATGCAATAAATGTCAGATGTAAACGTACCATAAGACTATCTGGCCCTAATTATCTAATAACGAAGAAGCAGTGGATTTATATTGGAAACGTTGAATTCAAGAATATAGACCAAGTCTTAGTAATCGCCAAAAATTGCGTCAAAAGACTTCAAATACAGTAGTTATCGTTGATGAAAAATCACTAAGAAACGAATAGCTTCCAGGAAGAATCATAGAAGTCTATCCTGGGAAAGACTAGGCCTGTATAAAAATCATGTCTTCTCCCAGTTT